TCACTGAAAACACTTTGCAAACTGCAGATTTATTAAGTTTGTTTAGATTCATTTAGTGACTTGTTTCAATTCACCCAAAAATGACCAATCTCATCCCTCGTCTCCCTTCCAGCCAGTCCCTCGTATTGTAGTCCAGTCTGCGAGTATCGATGACGCGGCCTTCAAACCAAAAACGGTAAGTAGAGGAAACCGGACGAGATACAATGTATATATGTATTGTGGAGGCAAACCAGTCACATGACCGGGACAACCTGCAAATCTGTTCATGATACATCTCTCTCATCTCTCTCTCTCTCATGTCTCTCTCTCTCTCATGTCTCTCTCTCTCTCATGTCTCTCTCTCTCTCATCTCCTCTCATGTATCTCTCTCTATCATCTCATCTCTCTCATCTCATCTCTCTCATCTCTCTCTCTCATCTCTCTCTCTCATCTCTCTCTCTCTCTCATCTCTCTCTCATGTCTGTCTCTCTCTATCATCTCTCTCTATCATCTCTATCTCTCATATCTCTCTCTCATGTCTCTCTCTATCATTTCTCTCTCTCTCTCTCTCTCTCTCTCTCTATCATTTCTCTCTCTATCATTTTTTTCTCTCTCTCTCTCTCTCTCTCTCTCTCATATCTCTCTCTCTCTATCATTTCTCTCTCTATCATTTCTCTCTCTCTCTCTCTCTCATTCATTATGTTTGTATAATGTATAGATATAATAATTTCTTATATCTTCTGATTGTCTCCACGTTGGGGGTTGTAGTTTTTCGGAGCAGCGATGATCTTTTTCTTCTCTGTAATTATCTTTATGATTGCATTATGAGATGAGGACACCCCCTTAATTGTGTCATGAATTTTTAGATTACCGATTACCGGCAATTGAATTTCCAGGTCGTGTCACAAACCTCTCTTGCGCTCCCCCCCCCCTCCCCCTTCCATAACTCTGGCCACTGACAGGCAGTATTGATTACCCGAGTTTAGTACATGTTGCCTCTGGGAAATAGATCTGAGAAATGGCGTGTTTAATCTCCGCGGCAGCCTTTAAATTCTTCACCTGTAAATTGACAGGCCCCGGGAAAATGGAGGGCGCCGGGCGAGGGAAATTTGGAAGGGAAAATATAAATCTTTGGCAGCCAGTTGAAAATTCGTGATTTATCCCGGCCTTAAGTGCAGCCAGAGAAGTGTTAGAGACGTATAGATCACCGCAGCCCTCCTGAACCCATAAATCGCGTGCCGCACAGAAGCAGATGGAGCGGTCCTGTCACATAAATCAACATTCAAGTAAATATTGGGGGGGGGGGGATATTCCTGGTGCCCAGTTT